TACATTTCCATTTTTGGAGTTAGAGAAGGATCTACAAGGACAATAAAAAGTTGTGGGACTAGGTGTCTTGCACTATACTTGATTCGAAATGACGATGTGTGACAGAAAGTCAATTTAGCCAATCAGATTTCTGAATTAAAAAATGAAATTTTTAATATTAAAAATAATGTCAGAATCCGAATCTCAAATGAGAGGTTACACATTATCAAGATCATGTGGTAAACACATGATTTTAAGCTACTTTGATAGGGTGTAACTCCTTAATGAGTCTCATTTGAGATTCGGATTCAAACACTATCTCAGATATTTTACAATAGAACTTTTTACATCAAAGTATTTATATCAAAAAAAGGAGAATTGCACTAAAAAATTTATATTTCTTGAATCAAAATAAATCTATAATATTTTTTCTTAACATTATTGTAATTATTTATATATATTCATTAAAAAACAATTATTGTTCATATTACAAAAAAATCTCAGTATAACAATAAATTCAGATATCTGGAATTTGACATACATCTCTGGATATGTGAAAAATCAATTATACAGATACAAGTTCTAATTGTAAGATTTGGGCCCTTTCCAATTTTTCATTAAATTATCAAGCAAATTTTCACAAATAATAGAAACCTTACCTTGTTACTTCAATTTGCTTGGTAGTGTTTGATCTAATGCTGGTAATATTCTATCGCTACACTTTCCACCAAAAAAATAGCCCAATCCCAAATCCCAAATCCCAACCCTGAAATACCATGAAACTTGGAACATTTGTCAATATACCAAATTGATTTTGCTCATTATTTATTGTGAAAAAACAAATATGACAACATTGGGATATTTTAGCTGGTAAAAAGAGTACAAATTTTGTAGTTTATACACAAGACACATTCCAAATTTGTACCTAACATGTCATTCATGAAATTTAAGGGATTGGGACTTGGTCTTTTGAGTTTGGGTGGCAAGTATATCTAGTTCTGTATAAAGGTCTCCTGTTTCACATACAATCCCTTTTAATTTAATATACTTCCATTAACTCCTGGATTGCTTCATCCTTATAAAAAAATATTGATAAATATTCTAGATTTTTACAACATGTGCAATTGATTGAACTAGCCTTCCCCAACATTCACTATCAGTTGGATGACAATAAACATCCAGATTTTTACATTGGTGTGAATGAAATCACACAAGTCTGATAGGAATTGTTCACTATATAGATTTTGTGGAATCACAGATTTAATATTTGGGGCATACTGCAACAAAACCAGACAAAGTGAACATTGGTATTACCAAGAATTTCAGGGATCAAAATTTAGTAACG